GTAATGAAACGTTTGCAAGAAAAGAACCAAGCTCAGAGAACCCCAAGGACTTCACAGTTCAGGAAATGTTTATATTTGGAAAGCTGGCTCTTAAATAAAATGAAATTACTTAAATATATAAACTATGTTGAACACAGGGACGGAGAGAAAAAGGAATACGAATACTAGAAGCAGCCGTACATCCCAAACACGTGCCCGACCATTTTCCTGTTCTCATTCCATGGGAAGCGTCTCATTTCATTTCTTAGCGCGCTTATTTCTGAGTCTCAGCCGCGGCATTACGGCGCCTTTGTCCTTTTTCACTTCCTTTGAATTCAGCGGAGTCCAGTCGCCTCAACGGGCATCTCATACGAGGATCTCATTCGAGGATCTAGTGACCAGATGAATCCACAGGTTCGAAGAAAAAACGGGAGAGAGACGTTTTCTCTTCCCTGGATCCATGGCATCCCAAGGTACCTGGCAAGTTTATCGTCTTGGAGTTCGACCAGCGCGGTTAGCTCAGGCCGTGCTGGGACTGTACGACGTTCCCCCGAGTCCTCGTCTTCCCCCGGGATCCCTCCTGAGTCAAAGCGTCCCCTCACCTGGCCGCTAGAGCCGCGCCGGGGCAGGCGGGCAGCCCGCCCTCGCCGACCTGCACGCGGGCCCCGGCTGACTGCTCAAGGCCCTGACGCCGGCCTCCCCCGCCCCCTCCGCTTGCCTCCTGCCCGTTCGGGGCGAGGGGGCGCGAGTGACGCTCCTCCGCCGGCCACGGAGATTGGAGGTGACCGGAGGGGCGGGCCCGGCTGGCATTAATCTTCCCCTCCATTGGGGAATATTGGCAGGGCGCTGTGATCCGCGAGCCGGAGGGAGCGAGCGAGCGAGTGAGCGAAGGCAGCCGCCGAGTCGAGCCGAGCCGAGCCGAGCCGAGCGTCGCGAGAGACCCGCAAGTTTTCCCCGCGCGCGTCGGCGAGAAGCTCCTGAACGTAAGTCAGCGCTGGGGTTGCGCCCCGCGAGGACCCTGCTGCCGCGGACGCTTCGCCGCTCCTTGCTCACTCAGCGGGCACGGCTTTGCGGTGGGGTCGGCGGCAGGGATGCCCTCGGCCAACGTTTGGGCGAAAACTTTCGACTTTCGAGCGAGTGGCGACGGTGTCCCGCTGTTGTGCAGCCTTCTCTCCTCCGCCCGAACCCCTCTTCCACCCCGCCGGCTATTTCTAAGCAGCGTCGCCTCCTCGCTTTAGCCTCCGGCCGCGGCTCATATCCGCGCGCAGTTCAGGTGGAGAAGCGCTGGAGCCCGCGCGGCACCAAACGCCGCCGAGCGTCTCTCTTCCCGGGAGATTTGGTCAGCAGCGACACACGGCTCCCCTCGATTCGGGAGAGTGAGCGTTAATCTGTGGGGTGCTCGTGCGTGGAATTGACTCCGTTGAGCAAATGCTGGACTCCCTGGGATTTTATGCCGCTGCCTCCTAGACCAGCATCCCTCTCCTCCCCGCGCTCTCTCCTAAAACTTTCCCTTAAAAATGCTCCTCACGGTGTACCTTACTTTTTTATTCGGATTTTACCCAGACAATGATGGTGATAACGAAATTAGTTTATGCTAGATACTATGCAACCCCTCCACGTCATCTGACCCATCAAAAGAGAGACGAAAATAGAACTGGGCTTATTGAATTTCTAGCCATGCGATTTGATCGCTTGAGTCAGTGAGGACTCCAGAAAGGACTGAAGAGCCCCGTCTGCTTCCTCCTTTATGGGGAGCGTCTCCTGCACAAGCAAACATCCTTCTGGGGTTCAAACTATGAATGGATGGTCATCTTGAGACACTGCCAGTGTGACCTTCTCCACCAGTGGCCACAGCATTTATTGCATGTCTTCTGATGTGCAGGTTCCTCATTATGTGCTGTGCACCAGTCTACCATCACTCATCTTGCCCTGATGGTAGAGAGGAAGAGAAATATATTCCCACCTTGTCAGGTAGAAAGATTGCTTGCCACCCTGGATACATTTCAAATGTGTGCGCTGTCTAAGAAATATAAAAACAATTTTGCTTACTCTATAGGGAGAAGGAGCAGAAAAGCTAGCAGTGAGTTTGGGAATACTTTTGGAACAGCCCTGGCTTATGACATTTCTCAACAGAAATGAGATAGGGGTCTGTTTCGTCCTCAGACTACAAGGTGGCTGGAAGAGAGAAGGTTGCCCTCTCGCCTTTTGTGGGAGCCTCCTTAGCTACTGTTTTTAGAAGACTACAAGGATTTGGTAGAATAAAGCCAGCTTGTCAATTTCTCCCAAACTTTCCCCCTTAACTTTGAACACTAGTAATTTCTATATGACAGCTGCCTTCCTGACCCCTGAGCCTCTAATCCCAAATGTATAGTGGATCAAAGCAAAACAGTGCACTGCTTGAAGCTCAGAACGGTCCAGACAAGGCTTTAAACACTGTTTTACTCACAGGATTATATGAGGTGGGGGCAAGTAGCATTCTTTTCTAACTGTAACTCTTCTGCAGTCTCTCTCTGCATCTTCAGGTTTTCTCCTAACACCACAAAAAGGAGGAAAAGATAGAATAGCACAGTGTCTTTTGTAGTCTGGAGCCTTTAGTCAGGAAGCACCCACAGATTAAATAATTAAGAGGAGAGATAAGTAGAAAAAAAATATTCCAGGAGCAACCATAATAATCCTACCCAGAGCTTCAACATTCTCCGTGATAATGTAACCATTTTATTTCATGACACAGGGCCAGAGGTTGGGCCATGGGATTCCCAGGAGTTTCCTACCAGCTCCATATCCTTGTCATGCATAGAACTGATACAGTGGCTGAGAGCATGTGCCAAGGAAATTCTCAGTTAAAATCTCACTTTGGCACCATCCACGAGCCAAGCCCTCCTAGATTCAGTCAACATGGAATAAGGATTTAAGCCTACTGTATATGGTTGTTGCAAACTTTGCTGAAGTGAAGTCTGTGAACACTTCACTTACTTGACATAAAGTGATGTTTCTTCTGAATTTTTGGGCAGAATCTCACACTCTACCCCATTTGCAGATAAAAGACATATGCCTGAAAGTCCTCTAAAGTGCTGCAAAATTGGGTGAATGCAGCAGGATATATTAATCTCATTGCTAAAACAATTTTAGCCATACTTAAATACAGTGCACTGCTGATGGCAAAACCTTGGGAAAAGTTGCCTGCTAAGAGGTTGGGTTATCCAAGAGGATACAGATATGTCCGATATTGGCCAACTTTTATAGATTAAAAATAACTTACTTTTACCAGTTTAATTTTTAATTAGCCAAGGAAGTGACATCTGTTTCCTAGCTCTGGCGACTCTTGCAGAATAGATCAGATATCAAGACCTGAGCTGGACAAAGCCATAAAGTATGAAGAGTTTGATATCCTACAACTCCACCTGGGTTGTTAGTTTGGGAGACAAGAGATTCTCCTCTGTTGTGAATGGTGGAAAGTCTCATGTTTCAGTGCCATATTGTTTGTAGCGTTAGTAGTCTACTGCTGGACTACAAGACCATTGCTAATACTCTGGCTGCAGGCTTTTCTACACTCTCTGTCCCTGGGAAGGGAAGAGGGCAGAGTGGGTAGAGAGACTATGGTAAGGACATGCCCCTGGGTGAGTATTTATAGAACTTGGCTTATTGATGCTTTTTTTGTCATGGGGGAAGCACATGGCATTCTCCTCCCCCCCCCCTACACTGTCAGATAACTTTTTTTCCCATTTACTTACCCAGTGTAAAGGTGTCTCTTGGCTTACAGAGGGTAACTAAACAGGAGAAAAAAATCCTGCAGAGTGACATCTACAATAGCTATATTTTCAAAAGAGATATGTGCACAGTAGGAATCATGTTGGCTTGCCTCCAAATCTTGAAGAGAAAGAAATCAATTTTCTAAATCTCTCTGCACATGCGTGTGCATACAGCTAGTGCTGCACTAGCAGGAATACAGGAGATTATGGTATTCTAGCAAATTTGAGTCTAAGGTAAAATTGTTGGTTCCAGAAGAATAAGTTTATAACCTCTTTCAATTAGAAGCTGATTTATCCCAGGAAAGTAAGCTCCCGGGTGACTTACTGGTTGGAGTGTGGTTCTTAATTTAACAGAAGCGCTACATTGCTTCTTCTTTTGCAATAAAGGCCAACATTAAGATCAGATATTTTCCTGCCTTGTACCAAAGCGAAAGACATCTGTTTACTTCTGGAAACAATCAAAGATTATTCTTAGAGGATAGGATGCTTGTCAGTAATTTCAAATGTCTCTTCCTGTGGCTCTTGTCATTTGATTCATCTCCAAGAGGCTTGTGTTCGTTCATTCATTCATTCATTCTCTCATCATCACTGCCAGCACATTATTTCACATGATCATTTCACAAGCAGATACAGGAGGATGGTGTGGTAGGAACAAGCCAAGCAGTGGTACAGGCAGGGCAAGAACCCAGGCCTCCTTGCAATTTAAATGATGGTTTTCTTCCCTAATCACAAGAAGCCATTTGATGTGGAGTCTTTCTCACATTTAGGTTACTGTGTGGCAGACTTAATCAACATTGTTCTCACCCTTTGTGTATGGATTGTATCACTTCCCTCGAGATTCTGTATGCTTTGGAGAGAATGTGCCAGTGTGACAATCCTTCCTATATGAGGCAACACAACTCCACCCCACACTCAGTCCCAACACAGGACTATTATCTTCCCTACCCATCTACCTCTTTTCCAACAGTTCTTGACTTTTAAGCATTTGATTTGTATGACTTGCCAGAGAGCACACCAAGATCTTCCTTAGCTGATCTATGACATACCCAACCTTCTATCTTTCACCATATACATTTTGGGTGAAAAATGGATGGGTCAGATGTCAACCATAATATGTTTAGTTACTTCCCTGAACTCTAAGGCAGCCTTCTCCATCTGGTGCCTTTGGTCGGCGGGGTGGCATTATTTCTTAGTGACATTTAATCAGAATGGGGCAGACTGTCCTAAGGCTTGACTCAGTCATCAAAGCAGTTTTATTTCATATGCAGTTCCCTGACAAACATTTTCAACCTACCAGGACTTTTTCTTCTAAAATGATTTTCCATTTTTGTCATTACAACTGCTTATAGAAGAGGTTAGTTCCTACTTTTGAGTCATGTTGGTACAGAAGTAAACAATCTATTTATATCTCTTTAGCATGACATAGAATCAGAGAATCATAGGGTTGGAAGGGACCTTGGAGTTCTTCTAGACCAACCATCTTAAAGAAGAAATCTTTAAAAGTAGACTGAGTATCTGCACCCTTGAAACTGAGCCCTGATTTTGCATGGTGGAAAGGGCAATTATTATTAGCAGTAGCATCCCAAAAAATGCAGCTGGAGGCAAATCAGTTCTGGAGTAAACAAACCCGTTGCAGTCTGTACTGTTTTCTTTGGTACATGCATTGCAAAACAAAGTATTAGCTCAGAGTATTGACCTGTTCATCCAGGGCATTGTTTTCAAAGCTGTGTTATACCTGGCAAGACAACGAAACTATGGACACTACACATCGGGCAGGAATGGGTTCCACTTGCTATACACGGATATGCCTTACTGCCACCTATTGATTCTTATCCAGATATTTTTATTTCCCATTAACTCCTTGGTTTTCACTTCTTTTTCTCTCTCTATCAGGTCTTTACAGGCAATATAATCAAACTACATTGACAAAGATTCAAATGTTTTTAAAAATACTTTTTAAAACAACTCTTTAGATAATAATAATTTCAATTTGTTTACTTTTTTCAGCCTATCAGTAAACCCCTTTCCCCAAATCCTTTTTCCTCCAAGTTCTGTTCCCAGGATGAGTTCTGAAGTTGAAAGGGAAGCTGGCACACAGTGATGTGACCAAGATTGGGGCAAAAGATTATTTCTACATTTGAGGAAATGTTGACTGATTATAAAGATGAACATCAGGGGGTTACATTCAACCCATTCCACCTCATATTTGTTTCCTAAATTAAATGCATGTGGTT